TCAAAAAATTATATTTATAATTAATTTAATTTACAATAAAATTAGTTTGGACAATACATTAATAATTTGAAATTAAAAAAAAAAAGTATAAAAAGAGCATTTTAATAATCACATAACATATAATTTGTACTATTATTAATTTACTATCAAACAATTCAATAGAAGAAATGTATTAATCAAATAAGATATCAATATATTTTGCCTTGATCTTAAACTATTTTTTAATTTAGTTTATTGGGTTAACGTTCTTTTATTATATTTAACCAAAGGTTGCATAAGGGTAATTTATCAGATTCAATTTCCACCAGAATGTTTTGGTATTTGGCATGGCATTTAAGGCAGCAAGCAAATTTGTGAAATGAGAAAACACAATTTGATCACGCAAGCTATGAAGAAGAGGAGGAAGGAGGAAGCAAGAACTATAATAAAATAAAGCGTGCTGGACATTCAAAATTCTCCTCCTACACTCTTTTCCTTAGAAGATGAATGGCGTATGGTAGTAGCGATAAATTTACGCACAGGCTAAAAAAAGAAGAAGATGCTTTTGACTGTCTGATCATATATATATATATATATATATATTTATATACAATTTGAAGTGTTGAAAATCATGTAGAGAGAGATTTGGGACCATATAGCGTATATATATATATATATATTAATTAATAATGGTATTAAAATATTGAGTAATAATAAAAATGATGGTTTTGTTTGCTTTTTCTCTCAGGCTGCCTTCAATTCCCGATGAGGAAAGGAGGGTGGAGAAGAAAGTGGGAGAAGCAATAAAGGAATATTAAAATATATATATATATATGTATGTATGTATGTATGTATAGAAGAGTATTTAATGCTACAAAAGGAACATTAAAAAATTAAAAAAATAAATGAGATGTGGGGAAGAAGATAAGGTGGTGCAACTGTGATAATGCAAGTTAAAAACAACCCAACAGCAAGATCTCTTTACCCTGGATTCTTTTTATCCAATCCAACTTTTCTTGGCAGAGAACATGTCTTCTTGGGACTTTATATATATATATATATATATATAAATATAATTATGTAAAACACATCTTCCATATACATATACATACATTATATGCATCTATCTTATTCTTAATCCGCTAACACCATAATTAATTAATT